TGCCCGCCCCGGCCCCGCCCCGCCGCCGCTCCCCTGGTTGGGTCCGCCCGCCCCACCTCACCTCACCTCGCCCCGCCCCGCCCAGCCCGGAAGTCGGACTGATAGCGTAAACGCCCCGCACGCCTTTATATACCCGACGTCCCCTCTGCGACATGACGCACACACCGGAGCGTGGGGGGGGGGGCCTTAAAGGGGCCGCGCCCCATGCGAGTCCTCCCCGCACTGCTGCTTGCGGGTGGTTTTGGCAGGATCTTTTCCACCCTGGGAGATGTCTGACAGCTCAGCCTGAAAGTGCCCCAGATAGTAGGCAGTCAAGGTTCTTTGGGTAAATGTAATATTTTTTTCAAAATGGTAGCATCCTTTTTGGCATCCAGGTTGTAGCCGTATGGGTCACTTGAAAGGAAAAGGCAATCCAGGACTTGCAAAAACCTTGTAAAAGACAGGATCCCCGCGACAAGTCCTGATTGCATCCTCCTCAGGGCAGCGGACGGACACGGCATGTGCAAAGCTGGGACTCGGAGCCGTCGGGGTTGTCAGCGGAGAAAGAAAGGCTTCCACTCTCACTCCCTCACCGGCTGGTTTTAGAATAGAAAGTAATAGGAAGAATAGGAATAGGCAAGCGAGAGAAAGTAATAGGAAGAAGAATAGGAATAGGCGAGCAATAGAGAGGAATAGGTGAGCAATAGAAAGTAAATAGGAAGAAGACTTATTTGCGTGTTTTTTTCTTTTTTCAGCATATGATCGTTTTCCAGAAAATACGATCATTTGAGCTTCCAACATGACAGAAATGTCATATTTCAGACCTGCCTTGGAGCCTCAGGCCAGCAGAGACTCTTTATGTCTGACAAAGGGGGACTGCACCTGAAAGCTTGTCAACAACTGTTTTCCAGCTACTCAGTTGATCCAATAAAAGATCACATCTACCCAAAGAGCTGTAACTGCCTATATTTAAGACCTGGCAATGCTGATCCCACACAACCACCATCTAAACTACATGACAGGAGACAACAGACCTAACATGGGACCCGGGGCAGCCCACGTCCTCATGAACACTGCGTGACCCTGGAGGCTGGGGGTGCACGGCGACCATCCACAGGCAGCAGCAGCGGTGGTGGCAGCAGGGGCACGGCGGTGGCGAGCGGGGAGCTCCCACAGGCAGCCACGGTGCTGTCAGCAGGGTGGGGGGGTGACAAGTTGGTGACCGTCTGCAGATGGCACTGGTGGTGTTGGCGGCAAGAGGGTGGCAGCGAGTGGTGAAAGCCTGCAGCTGCTGCCGGCGCTTTTTGCAGGGGGTGCACTGCCAAGCTCGGGGTGCACGTGCACCCATGTACACCCTCTGTGCATCACCAATGCGTCCTGCTTCTCTCAAATGCTGTCCATACATGCTCGGGAGGTCCCGTAAGCGCTTATCATGTCCCCCCGCAAGCATCTCTTTTCTCAGCTGAATCAGCCTGGCCTTTTTAGCTTCTCCTCTTATGGAGGCCCCTCCATGCCACTCAGCATCCTTGTTACACTTCTCTGGACCTTCTCTACTTCTTCTATATGTAGGCGCTGACTTGTATTTTTGCTGGGGTAGAGGCTAAGATGCTGGATATGTGGAAAGTTTTTTGCATTTCAGGTGACAGCCCTCTTCCTAAAGGGGACTCGGGCCCCCACGTACTCTGCACCTCTGCTTCTCCATCTTTTCTGAGGTGTGGAGACCCGAACTAGACACTGCATTCAAGGTGTCTTGAAGCTCTTCAGCCTGAAGCACATGCAAGACATTTCTGCCTCCCAGCCTGAGTACAGCTTCACCCCATAGTAGTACTTAAATCCTCAAAAAACCCTGCACCTGGCCGAATTTCCACACCTGGTGTCACCTGGGGATGGGGGGGTCAGTGAAGAATGGGCTGGTATCGAGTGCTCTTATTTACATGTAAAGCAAGTCACGTATCCTGATTAGGAAAGGAGAGGAAGAGTTGATGAAGAGTGATGATCAGATATCTTTTCACGTGAGAAATCAGACTGTAATTATGCTAATATAGTGCTTTCCACTTTGCCACAAGGCTTGAAGGGGCCTGAGTAGGTCAGACCTGATAGATATTCCAGTAGCCTAGGAGGCAGATGCACACACACGCATGCATGCACACGCAATTGTGTCTGAGAAAGCATCGTGTGAATGTGAGAGCTGCCCACCCTAGGAGATGGGAGTATAAATCTAATGCGGATACACCAAAATGGCAGGGAGGGTTAGAGCCACCAACCATGCCAGGGATGGGGACCGTGAGGAGAGAGGATGCCAGAGCTCCCCAGATGGCACAGACCACGGAGAACGTGCTCTGTCCAGGGCCCTTGTCTGATCATGCTGAAAGTAACATGAAATGAGGTGAAGGTGGTGAGGAGTCATCACTGATCCCTTCTCCCCAGGAGACGCCAGGCGAGGGGAGTGCGCAGCCAGGTGCAGAAGATGCAGGGCTTTTTTGGGTACAAAGTCCTACAGTGAAGCCACACTGGGGCTGGGAGAAAGAAATGTCTTGCATGTGCTTCAGGCTGAAGAACTTCAAGATTCTGGGTATGATGGAAATTAAAGGCCGTGATCTTTCTCTAATCTGATCTACTTCAAAAGTTCCCCCATTTTTAAGGCTTCATTGTAAGGCACTCCAGCTTCAGTTATTGCTATTAGATATTCCATGATGGTTTAGTAGATTTTTAAGTCACTATGCATTAATTTACAATCTGCTACCTACAATCTGTATGATGTGACTGACACATTATCTACTAATTGTGATGTTCATTGCTGTGATTCATCTTAAACACCCAATTAATTCAATTTAGAAGACAATAATTCTATCAACAACAATAAGCACTGAATCTCCGGGGTGGGGGGAGGGATCTAACCCAGTAATTCTGGCATTAAGCAGCTGCTGATTGATTTGTGATATACAGTAGTTCAAACAAATTTGCCTGCATGCCCATCCCCCACCTGCCTTAAGAAGTTCATTACAGAGAGGTTGAAACAATGGAAACAAACCAAAGTGCAAATTCACGGCACTCTATCTCCTGAACCTCATTTCTTGTACAGGGTGAGGTGACTTCTTCTGAATCTATTCCAGTGAAAATAAGCGATCTGTAAGGTTGCTTCATGTCTGAAAAAATGAAAGACAGTTTCATAAGGGCTGTGTAGCCAGGGCGTTGGATAAAACCTAGAGCTCTTATCACATATTCAAAAGTTAGAGATAGGGCGGGGGAAATAGGTCCCATCCAGTCCATCTCCAGTCCATCTCCAGCCCAGTTCAGTGTTATTTCCTACGGTATATTTTTAGTGGTCTGTTCACTTGGGCTTTGAGTGATGCAGTCAACAGACCTTTTGTTACTTCTTTTGGGAAACTGCTACCTGTTGTAAGAGATTTTTATCAGTTTGAAGACTGCAGTGAGATTGCAGGATTTTCTTGTTGAATGGGTTGTTACTGAGTGGCCTTGTTTACATATAAAGTGAGTCATGTATCCTGATTAGGAAAGGAGAGGAAGAGTTGATGAAAAGTGATTACCAGATCTCTTTTCACATGAAAAATCAGACTATAACTATGCTAACATAGCGCTTTCCATTTTGTCACCAGACTCGAAGAGGCCTAAGTCAGACCTGACAGACATTCTAGTAGCACCAGGGTGAGGCGCTCTCACGTCACAAATGGGAAATTACCAGCCCATTTGAGCAAGGTGTGTCTACAGTCACTACTTCTACTAGCTGTTCTACATTGGTAAAACGTTGCTAAGTTAACCATGAACATTGTGTGCCCCCGGAGGCTGGGGGGGCACAGCGACTGCCTGCAGGCAGCAGTGGTGTCAGTGGCAGTGGCGAGCAGGGAGCTCCCGCACGCGGCCACAGTGGTGTTGGTGGCAGGGGGAGGGAGTGGCAAGTGCTGATCAGTGGCCGACAACCACCCACAAACACCGCCGACAGTGTCAGTGGTGGCCAGCGACGATCAGGGACCGCCCGCAGATGCCGCCAGCGGTGTTGTCAGTGAGGGAGAGGGTGGCCAGCAGTGACCACCTGCAGGTGCCACCAGAAGTGTCAGCAGCACTTTTTACAGGGGGTGCACCACC